CGCCCCCAGCGTCCCATATGGTAAGTAGGGCATTTCCAGCCCTATTTGAACCCTTCTTTTTCCCTCTCCAAGCCTCCAAAACCCTCTCACTCACTCTCCATCAGCCGCTACCCTCTTCTCCCTCTCCACTCTCGATCGCCGCCTCCACTGCACACCCCAGCGACCAAGGAGCAAGGACCACGGTCAACCCTCGAACCCCCGCCCCTGTTCAAGTATCCCCAGGCCAGAAAGGAGCAGCCTACCTCTGTTCAAGGTGATCCCATCATTCGATGAGCCGAGCCCCCACCGCCGAGCTGCCCCGGGCACGCCTTCGAGCCTTCGAACACCTTTCCCTTGTGCTTTTTAGTGCAAAGACCACGAGAACGGTACAAGGCTGATAAAACCCCTTATTTTATGATGATATATGTTGTGTGATAAGCCTTAGATGATTTGCATGTTAAGGCTTGAGAATTAATCGATTAATTTCATGTTATGATTGTTAATTGTGAAAGTATGCGTATTGTGCATAAATCGTGAAAAGGGTTGTGGATTATTGGAACATTTGAAGTCTATGGCCTCATGGTGAAGGCCTTAGACGAAATTGTTGAGTAAATTGTTAATTATGCATTTTTTAATCGAGTAGTACTGCTGAATATTCGAAAAATCATTTAAAATCGTATACTCGTCCGATTGTTGTAAAAATTAAACTTTATTACCTTCTGACTGTGATATATGTTGTGTAAAAATTTCAAGTCGAAATGAGGTTTGTAGCTATGTCAAATGTCGATTTGAAGTTCTGGGCAGAAAATTTGAAAAATCCTTAAAAATCAAATTCTTGGTATTTTGCTGTGATTTTTGGTGATGGTTAGTGATCTGATGTTATGTGTGTTGTGTCCAAATTTCGTTGAAAAATTCAAAGGATTGCCCAATGAACTAGAAAGTTCAGATTTTCATCATATTTTTTGTAAAAATTGGTTGATTGTGTTAAACTGAAGAGTTGGATCTGAAACCTTGTGAATATGTGCCTTTCTGGGTCTATTTTAATGTGTTTAAATTTCAAGTAAATCGGTCGAGTGCATTTTGAAATCGGTCGGTCCTATTTGAAACCCCGCTTGTCTGCCGGGCCCTGTGCACTGCTGCCAGCCAGCGTCCCAGCGCATTGATGACGGATCGATCTTTTGTCTATACGGGTGGCGAATAAACGACGCACTGAGGCCTTTGTTTATCCCCGATAGATGTATCTAGCAGACGCACTGCGGCCTTCTCCTAGACACCGTGACTTCAAGACGCACTAATGGCCTTCTCTCCGACACTGCATGTAAAGACGCACTAATGGCCTTCTTTATCACACGTTAAGAACACAAGGTTCCCCCTCAAGATTGGCTCACCAATTCAATACTCAATTAAACTTGTAAAATATGATGAGGTACATGGGGTATTTATAGGTACCAACTATCTCTAAGGCTAATCTTACTAGGAAACTAATAAAACAATTAAATATTAAATCCTAAGGCTAGTAAATATCCTACTACCATAAATTCCTAAATCTACTAGATCTCCTACTATTTTGACTTGCTATCCAATTCCTTGCCTTGTACTCCAAGTACTTCTAGAATCTTTGAAGCTTGCGCCCCAACCCTTCGGCCGCCTCACTTCTCGCGCGCTATGCGCGCGCCGCCCGCGTCCTTCGCCTATGCCTACCGCGCATAGGCATGTCGCCCATCCGTGTGCCATGTCTCGCGCGTCACTGCCATGCTCGCCTAGTCCTTTGGTGACTAGGTCTCTCGTGCCTGCTGCGCCACTCC